CACTGATTCTATAAGAATTTTCTTAAACCAGTCTTCTAGTTTCATTCTGTTGCTATGATAAAACACTGATCAAAAACAACTTAGGAAGGGCTGGAGAGATGGCTCAGTAGTTAAGAACACTGGCTGTCCTTACAGAAGACCCAGGTTTGAATCCCAGCACCCACATGGCAGCTAACAACTCTCCATAACTCCAGTCCCAGGGGATCCGACAGCCTCTTCTGTCCTCCTCGGGCATTGCATGACAGGTGCACTTACCTACACGTAGGTAATACACTCATACACATAAAATAAAAATAATTTTAAAAAAATAAAAAAAAAAACAGCACAACTTAGTGAGGAAAGTTTTATTTGGCTTACACTTGCAGGTCACAATCCATCTTTGAAGGAAGTCAGGGCAGGAACTCAAGACAAGAACCTGGAGCAGAAACTGTGGAGGGTGCTGCTTACTAGCCCACACTCTGGCTCATGCTTGGCTAGCTTTCTTAGGTAGACCAAGCCCATGCCTAGGGATGGCTCCACCCAAGTGGGCTGGGGCCCTCTCACATCAATCATCAATCAAAACAATCTCTCACAGACATGGCCACAGGCTAGTCTGATTGGAAGTTCCTTAACTGAAGTTCCCTCTTCTCAGGTGGCTCTAGGTCTTATCAGGTTGACAATTAAAAAACTAGTCAGCACAAACCAGGCGTGGTGCTGCATACCTATAATTCCAATCCTTGGCAGGTAAAGGTAGCCTCAGCCACATGAGACCCTGTTTCAATAAAACAAGCCAAAAAACCCTTTGTGAATGTGATCAGATTTGGAAGTATAAAGTAAGGTCTGTGCATTAAGCATCAAAACCACACCTGCACATGCCAGTATTTCTTGCCATAGTTATTTTTAGGGGTCCCCTCCTGTGTGTGTGTGTGTGTGTGTGTGTGTGTGTGTTACTGACTGGGATTGATCCCAGGGTGTTCTGCATGCTAGACAAGTAAGCTACATCCTCAACCTTATTTCGAAATTTTAATTTGAGGCAAGGTCTTGCTCTATAGCCCAAATTATCCTTGAACTTTTGGTCCTCCCACCTAACTAAAACTCTCAGGTAGCTTGGATTACAGCCATGTACTACTAGGCTCACTAGGTCTCTTTCTTCCCAAATCCTTAGGTGTATGGTTTGTTTGTTGTTTGTTTGATTTTGTTTTTTGAGACAGGATCTCTCTGTATGTAAGCACTCTATAGCCCAAGCCGGCCTCGATCCACAGAGATCCACCTGCCTGTGTTGTGCACTCTGCTTTTTGTTTTTCTCGCTTCTCTCACATTTGAAGGCTCTCCAAGGACAGTACCCCTTAGCCTGGGAGCCAAAATAATTACTTTTTTTTTTTTTTTTTTTTTTTTTTAGCTATAGCTTTGGTCAAAATTGGTCTATTAAAATTGACATTACTGGTGTATGTGGTGGCACATACCTTTAATTCTAGCACTTGGGAGACAGAGACAGGCAGATGTCTATGAGTTTGAGACTAGGCTGGTCTACATAGAGAGTTCTAGGCCATCCAGGGCTGCATGGTGAGGCCCCATCTCAAAAAAGGGGCATATATTGTACAAAATAATATGTTTCACATGTTACTTTAATCCATGTTAAAAATGTGCTGGATCATATTTGTCCCCTATTAGCCTCTCTTGTCCCAATAATGCCTTAATATCCCTTCTCGTGCTTTTCTCCACTGGAGGGTGGAGATGGGCTGCTGGGTGAGGTGGAGCAGATAAGGCATACTCACTCTTGGGTCCTGTGGCAGTGCTCTTGCAGAAAAGACATGGTCAAGATTTCCATGGATGTGTTTGTGAGGCGGTTCCAGCCAGAACGATACAAACTCTGGAAAGCTGGGAAGGACAGCACAGTTATCGACCATACTCTTCCCACACCTGAAGCAGCTGAATTTCTGAAGGAGAATGAGCTACCTCCAAGAGCTGGGACTGAGGAGTGCCCAGAGGATGACATGGGAGGAGTTGAGCAGGGAGAGGAGGACAGCGTGAAGAGAAGGTACTGGGCAGGCCTGTGGGCTTGGCTACTGGGAAGGGTCTGGGTTGCTGCTGCAATACGCAGAGGCTGTTCTGTTTTGTTTGATCTATACCCAAGGTAGTCTTCTCTGAAAGGCTCTAGAAGCCACAGAACTGAGTGTCCCAGGGCTTCTAATGTGGCATGCTGGAGCAAGGGGCAGGGCCGGACCCTCCCTTTGCCCAAAGTCAGTTTTCTTCATATTATCAGTGTCTTTCCAAAGAGCATAGCATGGTAGAGGGAATAAGACTCACCAGCACAGGGGATAGGAGCTCTAATCTGCTGGCTTTGTCAGGGGTCTGAGCCAGAGCATCTGTGCTCATGTGGGAAAGACGGAGAGGACATCGGTGGGGTGCCTGGTCTAGGCCGGATGCTCTGCCAGGTATGTGCCAATCCACTTCTCAGTTCTCACAGTAGTTCTCTGAGGTGGGCAGTGGGATCTGTGCTTGCGGATGGGGAAGGGGCTTAGCTGTGAAGCCCTTCGTGTTCACACAGATATGGAGTATTCAAGCAGGCCTGGCCATTCGCTTTGGGTTGTGTGCGGACATATATGAATGCATTTGGGTGAGTGGGTGGGTATATGGGCTCTTATGTTTTTGTTCTTCTTGCAGCCTGGCCAAGCACCGTATAGGGACAAAGAGGCACCGGGTCTGTCTTGAAATACCACAGGAGGTGAGTCAGAGTGAGCTCTTTCCCAAAGAGGAGCTGAGTTCCGGACAGTATGAGATGACTGAGTGCCAGGCCACCCTCGCCCCTGTGAGGCCCACCCACAGCTCTGTGCGGCAAGTTGATGACGGCCTGCCCTTCCCAGGTGAGCTGATGGTGATGTTTTTTCCACAGCCTTATTGACACCTGTTTTTGTGTGTTCAGCGCCATATTGAGTGCAGGTCAGAAATAACAAAAGGGAGAGGCTGGTTGGAGCAGACCCACTGGAGGGCAAGAGGCACTTTGGTTGGAACGCAGGACAGACCAGGCATGGAGGGAAAGGCTTGTCCCACTACTTAGTGAGTGGTCAGGGAAACACTGAAGGCTTTGCTGGAGCTGACTTGGTGAGATGAGGTGGGCAGAAGCAGTAAAGTAAGGGTGTCCCTAAGAGGAAGAGGAAAGGCCTGCTCCTGGGAAGTAGCATCTGGTGGAGTCAGTGGTGATTTCCTCTGAATTTGATATTGGGGGTGGGAAGGATGGAAGGCAGCTGTGTGGCCAGGAAATGAGGCTGGATAAAGAGAATAAGGTGATGTAGAAGTGCCTCCCATTTTATTTAAAATTGTGCGCGTGCGTGCATGCGTGTGTGCGTGTGTGTGTGTGTGTGTGTGTGTGTGTGTGTGTGAATGAATGAGTGAGTGTGTCTGCAACACATATAGGAAGTCCATTGTTCTCTCCTTCCATTGTTTTTTTGTTGTTGTTGGGAGGGGTTTGACATAAGATTTCCGTGTCGCCCCAGTGGGGCTGAAATTCCTGTATAGAGCAGGCTGGCCTCAACAGAGATCCATCTGCCTATGCCCCGTAAGTGCTGGGATTAAAGGTGTGTGCCACCACTCCCAGCTCTGCTTCCACTTCCCTGTGGGTTCTGGGTATTGAACTTGGGTTGTCAGGGTTGCTTGGCAAGTGCTTTGACCTGCTGAGCCATTTTGCCCTAATTTTATTTTTTTTATTCATTCTTTTGGGTCAGAGTCTTGCTCTGTAGCCTTGGCTGGCCTGGGATCACTATGTGGACTGGAATCAATCATGGGCTATCCTTCTGCCTCCCAAGTGCTGGGACTGTAGGCATGTACCAGCTTAAAAGTTTCAGTTGACTATAACTGTCTGTGTTTAGAGAGTACAATGAGATAATTCAATATGTATATACAGTGAAGCATCGAATTAGGGCACCATTGTAAAGTTTGTTTACTTGGTGGCTAGAAGAGCCAAGTGTGTTTTAAGAGACATGGTGTGGCCAGTAGTGTTGGGACCAGCCACTCAAATGGTCACTAAGACGGGATTTATTACTGGCAGGCTTAACTTGGGTTTATTTACTGTTCTAAGGTATATCTGATAGGGCTGGATAGCTCTGTGGACTTGTACCTTGGGGCTGGGCTAGTTTCTCGTAGATTTTTGTAACTGTGCAGGAAGGACTTTGCTGAGCACAGTCACTTTCTGATACCCCTATTGTGTGTGGGTTGTACCCACCTCATACCCAGGAGTTGACTTTAGGACCCCTGAAGATTCTCACATGACAAGTAGAAGAAGAACCCCGGGGGCCCTAGAGGGTGAGTAGGTAGCCCCAATCATACAATGACCCTGTCAATGACCAGTGACCCAGGATTTGAAGCCAGGTCTCACTGTAGCATGTTCATTATGTGTTGCTATTCTGTCTCTTATCAAGTTCATCCACATGAGTGGAAGTTGGCTGTATTTAATGTATGCCTTTTTTCAGATTACTCTGACTCCACTGAAGTCAAATTTGAAGAACTCAAGAATGTCAAGCTAGAAGAGGAAGAGGAGGAGGAGGAGCCAGAAAGCACTGCTCTGGATCTGTCTGTGAATCCTGCTTCTCTAGGGGGACGCCTTGTCTTCTCAGGTTCCAAAAAGAAATCCTCTTCCAGCCTGGGCTCCAGTTCTTCTCAGGATTCTGTTTCTTCTGATTCTGAAACCAGCGATTCTATTTCTTGCCAAGGCCAGGAAAAAACAGAAGTTCTCACTGTGCACAGCTATGCCAAAGGGGATGGCAGGGCCACCACTGGAGAGCCATGTGTGAAGAAGAAGTGCAGTGCGCCCAGAAGCATCAGCGAGCAGGAGCTGGCAGAGGTGAGGTGTGGCAGGCAATTGCCCTGTAGGGTATCCTGTGGAGGAGGGGGCCTGGGAAGTGAAGGGGCTGCAGGTGTGTGGGAGGGCAGGCGTGATCCCTCCACCTCCTCATTTCCTGCCTGAATTGGTTGTGTCAAACAGGTCAGGTGATGTTTCCTCTCCTCCAGCTTGTTCTTTGCTGGGGTTTACCTTCTCTCTGTGACTGTTGATCTAGAGAACTGCATCTCAGACAGTAGCTTCAGGGACAGCACAGGTCCTCTCAGCTTAGTTGTATGCACTGGTGTGCTGGGAACCCTGCCTTTGACACCTTGCCTAGAGGTAAAAAGGTTTGAATGGCAGTGGTGGCAGCCCAGATACTTTGCGGGGTTTGGGATGAGATGGCCCTTCTCACCCTAAAATTTAAGGGCAGGCCTGGTGAGCAATTAACAGCACTGGGTGCTCTTGCAGAGGACCCAGGTTCAGCTCCTAGTACCTATGTGGTGACTAACAACGGTTCCTAATTCCAGTTCTAAGGGATTTGATGCCTTCGTCTGGCCTCTGTAGACATTGTATGACATGGCTATACTTACATGTAGGCAAAACACTCATATACATAAAATTAAGTAAATAAATAAAATGGAAATTCCAGGGCATTTTTCTTAGAAATTTTCACTGCCCTGTGGAACCTTAGCACGTCATTGATAGAGCATCCTTTTGGACACCTGGGCGAATTCCCAAAACTATAAATGTTTTTCAGTCTTCTTTCTAGAGCCTACTGTCACAGGAAGCTGTGTTCTCTTGGCTTTGTCTACCGTGGCTCTTGGAAGGTTTGCCATGTTGGGAGAAATGCAGTGTTGGTTGCAGCTGACTCACTCCACCCAAGTGACCTGCCCTTATTTCCTGGCGTTGCAGCTTGCGTGGTTTGAGTTGCAGTCTAGGTAACAGGTAGCACGTACATAATGGAAAATTGTGTAAGCTAGGCACGGTGATGCACCCCTGTAATCCCAGCACTCAGGAGGTAGAGGCAGGAGGATCAGGAGTTCATAGTTATCCTTGGCTACATAGTAAGTTTTAGGTCAGCTTGGGCTATATGTCTCAGAAAACTGAAAAAAGGGGCCAGTGAGATGTCCCAGCAGATAAAAGTGCCTGCAGCCAAGTCTGATGAGCTGAGTTCTCTTCCTGGGACTCCTGGAAGTTATTCTCTGACCACCACACATGCTTGCGTACTCACATGGGCATGCACACAAGACTGAAAAAAAAGTTTTAAGTGCAAAAGACCCTTGAGAGCGTGCATTACCTTTTTTGTTGTTTTGTCATTTTGAGGCAGGGTCTTACTACGTAGCCCTGGCTGCCCTTGAACTCTGTGTAGACCAAGATGACCTCAAACTCAAGAGATCCACCTGCCTCCACCTCCTGAATGCTGGGATCAGCACTGATCCCCCCCCCCATTAGATACCTTGTTGTATTTTTTTTTGTCTTTTTGAGACAGGGTCTCTCTGTAGCCCCAGCTGGCTTGGAACTTGCTATGTAGACCAGTCTGGCCTCAAACTCAAAAAGATCCACTTGCCAGGCTTGGTGGTGCACGCCTTTAATCCCAGCACTCAGGAGGCAGAGGCAGGTGGATCTCTGTGAGTTCAAGGCCAACCTGGTCCACATAGTGAGTTCCAGGACAGCTGGGGCTACAGGGAGACCCTGTCTCAAAAAGACCAAAAAAATCTGCTTGCCTCTGCCTCCCAAGTGCTGGGATTAAAGGCTTGCACCACCATGCCTGGCTTTAGGTACCTTGTTTTACCTGCTATCTTTGATTCATGAATTTGTCATTGTTGCACAGGGCTATGCTAATCTCTGCATTGGTCCAACTGTAGCACATGCACTATTGGTTTTCTTTGGTTGACGCACTGGCACTCATCCTGTCTCCATGTTTTCCTAGGGCTCTTCATCTCTTTTTATGGCTGGTTTTCTGCTTGTCTTTGACTTTTTGTTTGTTTGTTTACTTTTTCAATAATATCTGTTCCTTTAAAAATTTTTTTTTCAAAATTTATTATTTTCCTGTGTGATGAGGGTACATGTATACCATGGCACATATGTGGAGTCAGTTCTCTCCTTCTACCATGTGGGTCCCCGGAATCAAACTCGGGTTATCAGGCTTGGCAGCAAGTATCTTTACCCGCTGAGCCATCTTGCCATCCCTCCCCTTGTCTTTTAGTACCCAGACAGTTTTCCCTGCTTCCCTGAGTGCCAAGGCTCAGTTTCTGTAGACTTCCTGCCTCCATCTCATGGTGTTTTCAGGCTAAGGAGCTGATGACCACCATGTTTCCTTCACACTGCTGCTGATCGTTGTTCTCTGCCTTCTGGCAACTTCTATGAGAGAAGCTTTTCAGCTTGGAAGCCCCCTTACACCTGCTGCCGCCGCCACCTGGTATCTTCCTCACAAGTCCTCAGCTGCCTCCCCTTCTGCTGTGTCGTTTACCCTGTCCTGTGCTTGCTGAATCCTGACTTTCTTGCCTCCAGTTGGAGTCAAATCAAAAAAGCAGCTAAGAAGAAGCAAAAGTGTAATAAGAGATGCCTCCCTTGTCCCCCACTCCCTCTCAATATCTTGTCCTTTATTATTGTTACATATACATACATACATTTACAGGAGTGTGTGTGTGTACTGTATATGATATATAATTATATACATAAAATGCACTGAGTCCATTCAGTGCTGCTCCTGTGTACCTGTGTTTTAGGGCTGCTCCCTTGGAATTAGATAACCTCTCAGGGAGCTAGTCCCCGAACCAAACTGATACTCCCTCCTTCAGCATCCATTGATTGCCTGTAGCTCTTCATCTTGAGGTGGGACCCCTTGCAATTTCCCCATCTACCTTGGTATGTCAACTGTTTTTGTCATTATAGCAGACCTTGTTAGGTTATGGTACTAGAGATTTCATTGGTGTAGCTTCCCTTATCATGTCTAGAATGCTTTAAGTAGCAACAGGTGTCTTGTCCCTCTGGCTCTTTGATTCTTTCTGCCCCCTCTTCTATAGTGTTCCCTGAGCCTTAGGTATAGAAGTTGCATTGTAGATGTGTCACTTAGGGCTGGGTAATTCACAGACACTTATTCTCTGTGTTTGACTAGTTGTGGAACTTCTTAATAGTCTCCATCTATTACAAAAAGAAGTTTCATTGATGACTGGTGAGAGGTAGACTTTACTATAAATATAATGGTATATTTAGACTATAGTAAGAAATTATGTTGGGGGGCTAGAGAGATGGGTCAATGGTTAAGAGCCCTGGCTGCTCTTGTAAAGGCCCCAGGTTCGGTTCCCAGCACCCACATGGTGGTTAACAACCATCCAGGACTCTAGTTCCAGGCGATCCATCACCCTTTTCTGGCCTCTTGTGGTCACTGCATGAATTCATGCACTTATATACATGTAGCAAAACACTCATACACATAAAATAAAATTTAAAAAAAGAAAGAAATTATGTTGGTCTAGGGAAGTCACCCTTTTTCCTTCCTATATCTGGTAACGGTTAAGTGACGGATACAAAAAGTTGGGCATATGGGACTTAACATGTCCTTCATTACCAATTAATATGATGTAATAAAGTGGCTTTGGCAAATGGTCCTGATACTCACTTTCAAAGAGATGGATGACCTACCTAGAGACAGTCAGTCCTTGATGTCCACAGGCTCCTGGAAGGGATCACTTGCCAAGCTTCCACGTGATGAGGATGCTGACTAGCCTGCACTCCCTCTGTAGAAGTCAGATCCTAGTGAAGTGATGCACACTTAGCATCCACAGTGTGGACAGAAGCCAGGAAGCTATTGCCATGGAAATCCACAGCAGAGGGAAACTTCTCTCTAGGTGCTTCCCAGCCCTTTGCTGAAGAGTCCAAGTGCCTTGGCTTCCTTTTCATTTCTGTGTGGATTCTCAATTGTGCCTGATGGTGATGCCTAGCTCTGCTCCATCACTGGTCATCCCTCCTGGCCATCAGTATGTCGTGGCTGGTTTGAACTACTAAAAATTCTTCAAAAAGGTCTTGCCTGATTAGGCTGTTGGCTCACCTCTGTTTGTTTAATCCCTCCCTCCCTCCCTCCTCACTCCTTTCCTTCCTTCCTTTCTTCCTTCAAGATAGGGCCTTACATAGCCCAGGCTGGCCTCAAACTCATTATGTAACTGAGGATGCCTTTAAGCTTCCAATCCTCCTGCCTTTACCTCCTAGGTGCTGGAATTAAATTATAGGGATTGCACCACTCCCACCTCCTGGCTAACTGTAACTTTCTTTCTGGTCTTTGAGGTAGGGTCTTACTCTGTGTAGCCTAGATTGGCCTCAAACTCATGATTCTCCTGCTTTAGCCTCCTGAGCTTGAGCAGTTAGATGTTTCAACAAAGAAGGAAAAAGGGTTTGAAACAGCCAAGTCCTGTGGGAACCTGTCCTCCAGCCTGCAAGAAGTAGTGAGAATGGAACTGGAGTGGGACTGTGGTGACGGGGTAGGGCAGACAGTGCACCTGAGCTTCTAGAAGGTAGGAGCCCAGGACTGGAAGACAGGCTGGTCAGCACTGAGCACTGTTGTGGTCAACTCAGGATTTTGGCTTGATTTACTAGAGAGGGGAGGGTGCCATCTGTAGAGAATAGAAATTCTCAGAAATGTGGGTCTTATTAATTGGTTGGTTAGTGAGTTCAGATCAGGGCATGTCAAGTGTCTGTCTGCGATCTGGGATGAAAGCTTTTACACAGATTTGAAGCTCAGGAGAGACATGTAGGTAGGTTGGAAGTCACCAGGAGGTTGTTAGAGGGCATGGAAGACTTTGTGTAGTGTGAGGAACAGTTTCTACAGTGTGGGTGGTGATAGAGGGCCTTGGGGGAGGGGGGATGAGGAGGAGCAGCCAGAGGTCTGAGCATGAAGGCTTGTGTATCTAGCTCCAGCAAGAAGGATTCAAGACTGTGTATGGGGGGGCGGGGGTTGGTGGTGCAGGTGTGCCTTGTATTAAGGGCAAAAGCCTGCAAAGTGGGGGAGGTTGAAGATCATGGAG